AACAGGTGTAACAGACGTGATAGGTACTGACGTAGTTTTTGGTGAGACAGTGGTAGTAACTTCTTCAGGTGTTGTTATTTTGGGCGTTGTTACTTCTATAAAAACAAGCACAAAACATTGTGAAAATTCTATATACAGTTTTGTATAATGTACACACTGTTATTAGTTGTAGTTGTGTCGTGTTTCAGGGATTTGCTTTGGAATTTTTAATGATTTAGATGGTAATTGCTTTCAAGAATGAATTTGTAAAACCTCTAGCACTGTCGTAAAATTTCTACCTTATTTTATAGTTGGATATTTATGCTGATGGGTAGTGTCAAGTAAAAGGTGTCTACCAATGAGAAGGCAGCTTCTGATCTAACTACAACTCAGCGTGACCCTGACGTCTCTGTTCAATAACATTACTGCATATCGTGAAAAATTAATAGCAATGAATATAACTTGTGTTGAATCAAGATTTAAAAGAAAACAAGTCAAATATCAATATTTTTTCCAGAAAATTAAATCAAGAAAGTATTAAATTATTCACAGACTAATATTGGGCAATATCTGTACCACTGAGAACCAAGATGGTGGTCATCTTGTTTTTCAACAATAATACTGTAAAATACTTTATTTTCATTTGGAATTAATTTTCGTTATTTTCGCTGATGGAATGATTCAGTGAAAATAAAATCGAGCAAATATACCTTTTTCCTTATATTTTACATTCAACTCGTCAAAAATTAGCGAAAATAAATTCCATAAGAAACACTCCAAAAGTCTATTCAGCGAAAATTATTCCTGCAAAAATAAAGTATTTTACAGTATATTATATCAACAAGAATACTTCTATATGAATTAAAAATACCTACCACAGATACAGTAAAAACGGATTTCATAGTCAAGGCATAACTGTCCTGATGTCTGAAACTTGTTCATACACATGAATCCACGCTTTGTACAGTGGCCCTCCTGGCCGAGGGATTCAAATGAGGCTTTACTTTCTGTGGATCTACACTCAACACTGGATATCATGGATTCCTCACAGAACTTATATTGTGTTCTTAACCTTGGCATCACTTCAAAGTCACCATCCATTTTTCCAGTACCTGGTTCATCAATATTGAACCAGTCAGTCCAACCTGTCTCAGTACATACAGCAGGCTGTACGACAAATGGTTCAGGGGTGGGCCATGTGGGTTTTTCAGTGCTTGCAAGTGTTCCTGGTTGAACGGTAGTTTTAGCTGTCAAGAAAAGACAAAAAAGAGGTGATTGACTTGACTTTACATGCTCAGATCTGTTTAATTTTCATTGGTGCTACAAATTCACTTAAATATGTCTCAGTAAGATTAAACTCAGATGATTAAATTAAGCATTTATAACTCACATGTCAAGTGGGAGATTAAGGGACAGTTATATGAATAGCTGTTCACTTACCGCAGTCACAATAAAAGCGAATTTCATAATCTAGACATGTATCATTGTTATATTGGTCTTCATTTGAGCATACAAGTCCCACGTTTTGGCTGCAATGAACCACTTGTCCCAGCTCGGTATGCGGTATATGGCTAACAGTGCCACGACACTCAGCATCGTCAAGCTTTGAAAGTTCACAAAATTGATAATGTTTACGAAGCCTTGGAATGACATCAAAATCACCAGCTGAATTGGTGTATGGATTGTCCACATTGAACCAATCAGTCCATCCAGTTTCGCACTTTGGCGGGGCAATGGTAACTACTGTCGAAGGTGATACTGTGGTCGATGAAGGCACTGTCACTGTTTCAAGCTCTGTCGTTTCTGGAGTAGCTGTCGGCGGTGTTGTTCCTTCTGATGTCAGTGTTGTAACTGAAGTAACAGATGACACCTCTGTTTCCACTTCAGTAGTGACTTGGGGGAGAGGAGTACCAGTCGTATAATTCACAGGTGGCATAACCGTACTCTTTAATTTAATTTCTTCAGGTGTTCCCTTTGTCACAGTTGCTTCTGTTATTGTAGTAGGCTGTACTGTTGTTGCTGTTGAACCCAAAATATTATTAAAAATTTGTGAGCATAACTTCAGATATTATGGAATTAATTTTTGCTATTTTCGCTGAAGGAATGATTCAGTGAAAAAGAATCCAGTAAATATACCCTTTTTCCTATATTTTACATTCAACTCAACAAAAATCAGTGAAAATAAATTCCATACAAAACGCCCCAAAAGCCTTTTCAGCGAAAATTAATTCCAGCTAAAATAAAGTATTTTACAGTATAACAAAAGATGAGAAGTACTTACGACAGCCACAGTAGAAGCGTACTTCATAATTGTCACATGTTGCACCACTTTGTTCAAAATTGCTACATATTAGACCCCTGCCTAGGCTACAAGTGACAACCTGTCCAGTAAGCTGAGATGGTACATGTGTCGCTGCGTTTCGGCACTCAATATCAGTAGGGGTTTCGCAAAACGCATGGTAGTGTCTTAGCCTATTTATAGGTTCGAAGTCACCTGGCATTGTACTGTTCCATGGGTGGTCTGTATCGAACCAATCTGTCCAGCCTGTGTCAACACAGGCTGGTGTAACCGATGAAACCTCTGGTGGTGTTGTAATCTCAGACGTGAATGAGGTAATTATTTCAGTGAGCACTTCAGTGGACGGAGAGGACACTTCGATGGACGGAGAGGGCACTTCAGTGGACGGAGAGGGCACTTCAGTGGATGGAGAGGGCACTTTAGTGGATGGAGAGGGTACTTCAGTGGACGGAGAGGGCACTTCAGTCGATGGAGAGGGTACTTCAGTGGATGGAGAGGGCACTTCAGTGGATGGAGAGGACACTTCAGTGAATGGAGAGGGCACTTCAGTGGACGGAGTAAGCACTTCAAGTGTGGTTGTGGGTGGAGGGGTTCCCAATTCCACCTTTGTCGTATAATTCAATGGGCCTAATATTGGGGTTTCTGAGCTAGTTGCTGGGGTTACTGTACCAGTTGTCGCAGTTATGATTGTGGCCATGGTTGTTGCTATGATTCCTTCACTAGTGATTACAGCAGGAGATGACATAAAGGCAGTAGTTGTAGTTAGGAGAGTCGTCATTGCAGTTGTACATGGTTGGCCAAACCAGTGGAGGGTATGATTGAAACAATAACTGCAAAATAAAAAAACGAAAAAACAGCATAAACAAATACGTCATGACTGACTACAAGAACAATTAAAATACATGATTTAAACAAGAAGTTCAATTAATTGGTTTCCTTGGTTACATATATAAATCTTGAGTACTGTATGGTAATATAAGTAATTTTAAATCCGTTTCCAACTTTACAGTATTTAGGTCACGGATATAATTCATGAGATTACGGAGTACACACAAGACTAGCACAGCAATATAATGTCGATCAACTACCATGACTAAGTGTTTGTGTGATCGTTTCTTGATGTGCTTATTTTATGTCTGTCAAATGCTATATTAGTTGTTACTACTGTCAATGTGAACAATGGAATACATTCATTGACAAACTCATGTAAAAGGAGTGAATTAATTTAAGATTTTGTTTACATAAGCAAAAAGAGATAATATGCAAATTAGATACTTAATATGCATGGACATGACCCAGAAACTAATCATGTCTGCACATTCCCCTAGGGTACTTAAGATCAAAATCCTCTAAGAAGTTTTTGAAATTTTGTTTTCACAGGCTGAAATGAGATAATTAAAATGCAAATAAGCTACTTAATATGCAAGGAAAAGACCCAATCACTAATCATGTCTGCACATGGTACCAAATTTGATGAAAATCTGCTCAGACGTTTTTGAGATTGACAGACACACCAGACTTATTATCTCCCTTGTGTGTTTCACATACACAAAGGCTAAAAATTGAAAAAAAAACTAGTAGTGTTGAACAGCACAATATTACCAGAATTTTCAAAAATTAGTGGGTTAACACATAACTTACCATGTTCGACAAGGATCAGAACATTCTGGAATAGTCTGTCCATCATAGTACTCATTGACACCCATCTTGATACAGTAGCAGGATTCCTGCTTGATGCATCTCTGGTGCTCTGGGTCGTACACTTCGTCATCAGGACACAGACATCCCTCCACACAGCTTTCGTCGCAGCGTATTTGGTCGTATCGGTAGTAATTGTCGCAGGTGCGAGGACAAGCTGGTGTACATGGTTGATAGTCACCGCACCCTTCACACTGCATTGCTGAAATCAGTATAAACATTACAATCATGAGTACCCGTAAAAGAATATCAACTTATTTCCTTTCTAAACCTTTTCACTTCCCGTTTATAGTCTACACTTTCCTTCAGAAGACTTTCCTTCAGAAGACTGGAGTATAGCCAAATTTTTTTAGTAAAAGCCGAAATTTGAAATTCTCTGTCGGCTTTAAAGTTAGGGTTCATTTTCAGAAATATTGAATTATATAAGAAAAAAAATGCAGAAAAATTTGAGAAAGTCTTGTGATAAAAAGGTTAATGATAGTCCAGTCACATTGAATATTATTGGTTAAACATTTGTTTACAGGAACCGAAAGTTCCCAATTTGAACTCTTATTGGTCTTTTAAATCATTATTAATCTAATAAGAAGTGAGATGGGGGTGTCTGTCAACCAATAATGTGTGATTAATTTGAATCAAACATAATTAACTATGTATAATGGGCGACAGTAATACTTCGAGTAACATGAGATGATGTCTTGATGTTAGTTTGAGATAATAATCAACCCTATGCGAACCCAGTGAAGTGTAATGAGGTTATTACAAGGATACTGCAAAGTATGCACAAAGACAGTACAGTGGCAGTATCGACCGACACACAACGAAGGTTGATTTGATAGCGTACTGTCTGAGTGCATACATTGCAGTATCCTCGTAATAACCTTATTATTATACATCTTTTTCCCCAGGAATACATCATGGGAATGCCGAAATCCAAAATGCTTAGATCAGATTTAGCAAACTTATTTGTGTGAGGTCCGGTCAGCCATGTTTGTTGCTTTCGCACGTAATCACTCAATATATGGAATTCTCGTTTCCTAATATGGTAGAATGAACATACCCAGTGCAATACTGCAAAATTAAAGTGTAGCAACTTTAGAAATAAAATTATATGTAAATATTGTAAAGCATGTATTTTATTTAATATGTTAATTTCAGCTATTTTAGGTAATCAGTAATTTTACAAATTCAAGATGTAGTTAATTGAAAAGTGTAATCTACCAATGAGGTTTTTAACACTGTAGCTAAATTAGGATTCTGTTAAAATAATGCATTGAGTCAATTTCGTTAAAAATGACACATAGCTATTCCGGAGTAGCTGGAAGTGTCTATGATTGGTTTAATGTTAAGAACAGAATAAATCATTACTACGTGATTGGCTAATATAAAAGTTGATGTCAGCGTCTTTCCAAACATTCCAAGTTAATTTGTCCAGAAACAAAAAGTGAAGATTCAAAGAAAACTGGACCTGCTATGACGGAGAATGTGTTGTGCATAGTTTAAAACTGAAATGAATAGAAGGTTATCCCAGAGAATGAAAAATCTAATATTTATCTCAAAGAATAACCTCTGGAACCTTAAATGATGACGAACAACATAATCATTATAAACGGTACACTCCATTATTTAGAAGTCCTCATCAATATTAAATATACTGACATAGAATGCAATGAACTGAGATTATGGGGTGTGGTTTGCAAATAAACCTTCAGTGGCAATCATATTTCGTGTGTGGCCTTCATGTAGAATCATTGAGTGTGGTAAAATAGAATGGAATGAGGTTATTAACATAGGATGCATTCTTGAAAGTTGAAGATACCAAGCTTCGCATATGTGTGTATACCGGATATAAAGACATAAATACTGAGATGCAACATAAACATTAAGATTTCAATTGCTATATACTGAAAAGAATGTATATTTCTGAAGATGCAATAAACAATTATTATTATTTGTGAGACACGATGTTGTACTTGTAGATAAATCAAAACCATGTGGCAAAAACAAGATCCCTTTTTACTGTATACCATCATACATCTTGCTTGCACCCTACATGTATTTCTATGACAGAACCCCACACCCTTCCCGTGGCTTTCGTTGTGTATGGAAGTTATTTTCACGAGTGATGCGGTGTATCCTGCGGCCGTACTTTCACAAGCGAAGCGAGTGAAAGTACAGCAGAATACATCGCATTTTGTGTACTTCTTAATATTGTTCATTTCTGCCATGTTTCGAAAAACGGTACTCCTGAAGGGACTACTTTGTTTGCTCTCAGACTCATTTGCATATGAGGTGTGGAAATACCGATTTGGATTTCAGGGACGAATCAAAATAAACTGCAGTACATATGTAATAATGGTCAGTGTCACTTTGAGATGAACCTTAATCTTTTCACCACCAGCTCCTTTCTTTCATCACAAATTCACAAAATAGTTCCAGTTATAGTCTGCACTTTCCTTCAGAAGAATGGGACAAAAATAGCGAAATTTTTTGAGTAAAAACTGAAATTTACTCAAATTTTATGTTTACTCCAAAATTAGGATTTATTTCCAGAAATATTGAAGAATATAAAAAAAAGTGCAGACAAATTTAGCCGAGAAAGACTGGTGGTGAAAAGGTGAAAGAAAATGTTTTACTGTTATTTATTACATGGCTTCTGTCATTTTTAAACAAAAGCAACATGTATAACGTACCACAAAAATAATATTATAATATACACTACCAGAGGTACATCACTTGGAGTTTGCAACTACGGTGACATGATAGAAAGATCCTGTATCAATCTTGCTCTCGCATAAGCGTTCCAACTCAGAAAAATGCGAATGGGCATGCCCGAGGTAACTAGGATACTGGGATGTCCAGGTGGATCAAAATAGCTGCTCACGATATGACGGATTACGATAACTATATTTTCTGTACATTTTCGATGTATTAAATTTTTTCACTATGAATGTGGTAATACATGTTTTATTGTTTTATTACAAACCGCCTATTTCATGTCAGAAGGTCCGTAGCATCAGTCTCCTTATCTACGAGATGAGACTTGAATGGAATCTTGGCATGTCACCATACAGTACTATGCGCGTTGCAAACCCCAAGTAATGTACCTCTGACACTACAGGTAAATTTAGTTTGGCATGATATTAAATACAGTCTCTTTGTTTTCAGGAGACTTGTTTTAAAAGGTTCAAAATATGCTATTTCATTGAAATCACTCTCTTTTAGTGACAGAGTGCATTTGTGGTGACATAATGAGGTATCTGGTATATGGGTAAAGGTAATGAAATTAAATGATTAACTGTTGATACTCAAATGTATAGTTTCACAAAAATGATGATGAAATCACTAATAATTGCAAGACACAACATGTAATGATAAATAACTTTTTTATTCCATGCATTTTATAAGTGACAATTTAACAAAAACATAACTTGTCAATTTGAGTGTGTTTATATAAAATACTATCATTTGATTATATCTGCTACATAATTATTTGAATTGCTAATAGAGTGATTTCTAATAATAATATTGTTTATAATATTATAAGTGTAATATATATCTGCATGGTATACTAGTTTTTAATCAGTGTTCTATTCCCATTGGTAATTCAGATAGTTTCCACAAAGGCATCCACTATAAACATGCTTCTGCATCAAATGAAATTATTTTCAAACTACCAAGTCTACAAAAAATTACTGTTTAAGTTCAATTGTTCTCGTCTTAAATCCTGTCAGTAACAACACATAAAACATAACTATATTGAGGTGACCTATTTAATTGAACACTGTTTTCAAAACTGTGCATGTACTTATTCATCTATTCTATTATGGTTTTCCAGTTTTCTGATCTATCTTTACTAAATTCCACGCACGACTGTAATAAGTTCACACAGTTTATTCAAATGGAATAAAACATTGTACACAGACGTAACCAGTATTTTATCACCATAAAAAACTTTAAAGGACGATAGTCGTCGTGCAGCGCATGTTCGAATTTCATGTAAACAAAAAATGTATTGTACACGCATTGTGTATGTCGCTACGACTCCCATATCAAACAGGATGTGGAACGACGACTACCCCTCTTTAGCTTTGACCGTGTACAACACATAGTTTTGACAATGATTTGAATTTATCAGCTGGCCTGTGAATACGTATTAAACAGAGCATGTATGTAGAATAGCTCAAAAAAATTACTGTTATCAATATGGGAATATTCAATGTTAGTGCTTGGTTTTCAGTATTTTTTGGGACAATCACCCAATTCACACATATTAATTTTTGTTCTGGAAAAGGTTTAAATTTTTTTTTAAATAATGAAAAATCATGTAATCACACAAGACTGAAAGTTGTTGATTTATATTACTGAATAACAAATTTGAAATTTTATATATATATATATATATATATATATATATATATATATATATATATATATATATATATATATATATATATATATATACCGGTATATATATATATATATATATATATATATATGGCTGACATCCTACCAGGGACAGCAGTAATTTACATGCCCTTTCGGATGAGCTTCTACATGTACGTATATAAAAAAATTAAACCCATCGGCATTGTAACGAGGAAATGTAAAGAGAGTTGAGAGTCTGTTTCACACCCCCATGCTTGTTGGAAATTGATTATTCATTCAGGAAATCAATTCTCTTGTGTTACCGTGTTATCTTGAGAGAATTTAATAAAATGAGCACCACTTAAAATATTAGAATATATAATTTAAAGTAGATAAAAACATAATGCAGACTGGTTTCAGTTAGCTGATAATAATTAACTATCTAACTGTAGTGCTATAAAAACGTCATTAGGTCAAACTCTAAATATAAATTCGTAAAATACTCGTATATGCATGCATATTTGATGTTGTTTACTCAACAGCATTTTTACCAGTTAGTTGTTTCTTATATAATGTATATGTTATTCAGCTGTTTTTTTTGTTTTGGTAATGTGCGAAATTCACTGTGTCGTTGAAGGTAATAATCAACATAGGTTTCATTTTCATTGGAGCCAACAGACATAAAACTCCAGTAACAGACGACGATTTGCACAGGATTCGTTTTTCTTTAAAATTTGACAACATGGATCGTGTAACAGATGAATTTAAAAGGTACAAATAATGATAAGGTGTGAATTCTGCAAATCTAGGATGCAAATCAAAATCTTTCCTTCATTATACATATCAGTTAATGTTTGTTTTACATTAAACCTTAAATCTGTACACATTACAGAATGTTCACAATCCTCTCACAAAGTCATGTTGTAGACCTCCACACAGACAGACAGACAGACCATTTCGCTGATCAGGTGGTCCCAGGTGGATCCCTGAGCGTCGGCTGTGCGAGCTCTGTATACCACGTGATAGTGTGCTTGCTCAGTCAGCGGCCATCTTGCATTGACTTTATTTACAAGGGTTATCCTACTTGGCATGCGGGGTGATAGTCTTTGGTTGAAATGAACGAGATGGATGAAAAAAAGAAAGAAAAAAATGAAATGCGTTAGTTTATGATAAGAAATTTGAATCATTCTGTCTGTGAGTCTTCTAATTGGTTATTGACCCTACAACACATTTGACTCTAAGTCAAATGGTCTTCAATCAATATTAAATGATTTTCAAACATTTTAGGTAGTTCTCATTCCAAGTTCAAATAACATCCACACTAAACCACTGCTAATTTATAAACAAAAATATAAACAAAAATTACACTTTGACACGTTTTAAATCAAGAGAGGGCACAATTCAATGAGTTCAATGGTTTAAGAATGAAATTAGATTTATAAGATAATGAATGATATGCAACTTTGATATCTATGTATGTTGATATGCAATGAAGATCTCGAGTAAATCAAAGAAAAGGTTGTATTGCTGATATGGGAGAGATTATTGCTGTATTTTGCTGTAAGAATAAAAAATGCTCCCATGTGAAGCAAATTTAATATTTTTGGATGTTTACTGAACAACTAGCATATGACCATAAGGCGTTATAAATTGGTTTCAAACTTATTTAATAAATTAATATGCAAATTAGCTAATTAGCTGTTTTTAGGATATAAACAAAACATGCTCAATATAGTTAATTAGTATACAAATTCAATAATTAATATGCAGATTTGTACAAAATCAGTTATGCATGTACCAAATTTCATCCTAATCTACCCAGCGGTTTTTGAGATGTTAGTGGGAAAAAATGTGACACATCCACACATCCATTCATGCAGACATTGGTAGGACATTAATTAGTCTCTTTTTGTGCTCTGTACCAAATTTGATCAAAATCTGATATATGTTTTTGTCAACGCAGGCTGGAATAAGAGATAACTAATTAGTATGCACAGTCATGACTCCAAAACTAATCACATCTGCACATTAACCTCGAAATCTTCTCATAAGTTTCTGAGATTTTGCTTACACAGACAAACACACCAAATACACACAGGAACTAAAAAGGCAATCCCTCAAATTTTCAAATTCCCGTATTAGCGCTTGAACCATATTCTTAACTTAACCAAATTTCTTAACTTTAATTTATGTGAGATCATCATCACAATATCACATGACACCCAAATTTTATAAATTTGTGATAATTGGTGATCATGCTGAGTTAGAGTTACAAAATGTAGGTGACACGTAATGGATAAAGTGCAGGTAACATGGAGAAGATTCTACAAATTATAGTTCAATTATAGGTCCTTCTTTTGACAAATACAAATTTGTTAATACAAAAATACCACAGGTACACATAAAGACAGTATTGTGATCGTATCAACAGTTGCTTATTAACAGAGTTTAATTGATGTATCCCGCACAGCCTGATTGCATACTTTGCGGTATCCTCGTGATAACCATATCAATTATTTTCCTGCTTGTATAATGATCTATGAGAGATAACAGCCTAAAATGGCAAAGAAAAACAATATTTTTACATTGTTCGAACATTTGAGTTCAGTGACAGGATTGTATTTCTGTCATGTGCTATAGTGATTCTGCGTCTGATGTGAAAAAGAAAATGTGAATGCACATTTTTCAAATAAGGAAAACTTTTGAACATGTCCGTGACACTTATGAATGCATCTGTATGTGGTATTATTTTTTTGGCGTCAGATTAAAATATACATCAGAAAAAGGACAAGAATCAGCAAATGTGCTGCACACATTCGAGTAATTCAATTAAAATTGATAGTTTTAATATAACAGTATTATGAACAGATTAATTTCATTTTTGGGGGCGTCAGATAAAAATATACATCAGAAAAGGAACAAGAATCAGCATATGTGCTGTACAAATTTGAGTAATTCAATTAAAATCAAATAGTTCAACAGTTTTAAAAAGTAAGCTGATATCTATATTGTTACTTTGTTAGTAAAACAGTTAACTATACTACAGTACAGATGTGTTGAGTTGCTTTTTCGTTTACTGTAAAATTCATGATTGGGCTGTTCTGGGAGAACAAAAATTGTCGCTGGATGCTAAATATTACCGATAAATACAACCAATCAGAGACCGGTAGCAGAAAAAAGCTGCATATCAGTTTTAGTGCGCCAACTTTATCACTGTTCGATTACGTTCTTCTTTTGGAGTTTTCACGAGCTCATGAGTGTAGTTTTTGTATTGTTTTAAACTTTATTCAGTTGACAATAAACGGTGTTTGACGAGTTACATACTACGAGATGTTGCATTATCCATAAGTCTACAAATTGAACTTGCTTGGCGACGCCTGATAAAATATAGCTCAGTCGTCAAGCCAAAAAAAATAGCTACCATCAGTTCTACAGTGGCTAAAATAAACACTAGCATTTTGAAAAGAACAGTACCTGGTTGTGTACTTAATGTTAGAGACCATACATAATACATAGAATTCTGTTGTTTATTATGATGTTAGTAATAAAAGTAGTTTTGGTGTGTGACGTATAATATAACAGCAGAGTGAAAACATGTATCTGGTATTTTTCACGATACACATGTTATAAATAAATCATGATTAACTATACCACCACCAGCTCCATATTTTCATCACAAATTCACAAAATAGTCCTGTTTATAGTCTGCACTTTGCTTTAGATTGGAACAAAAATAGCCAATTTTTTTTTTTATGACAAACTGAAAATTGACTCAAATTGTGTCTGTTGGCTCCAAAATTAGGATTCATTTCCAGAAATATTGAAGAATATAACAGAAAAAGTACAGAAAAATTTGGGTGAGAAAGTCTGGTGGTTATAAGAAAACAAATGTTTATAATTATTGTGACTCATAAAATGACCACAGCACATACTTTATTTGTGTTCAATCTCAACACTAGACACATTCAAGAACAATTTAACTCCTAGTTCCATGCATAGTGAACATTCTTTATATTGCTATTTTATAGCTTCGAGAATTGTGCATATTTTTCTTTCTTTTTTTCTGTGTTATTTGATTATCCTCCTACTTTTTTTATTTTACTTGACTATGTTCATCTTCTATGGAAAGAATAATGTCAATAAAGTTATCTTGTCTTATCTTATGAAAAAGCATATGATGTTGCATTACTTGAGTGGCCTGATAGATTGATCAAGTCAGCCATCTTGAGGAGACCACAAATGAAAGCGTCATGTATAATCCTCCAATAATGGTCACTCCTTCCACCACGTTTGAAGAAAAACAAATAACACATGTCCAAAGGCCTAGTTGTGGACATGTCAAAACACCAAAATACATGTTTGCTGAATGTTTCATGATATTCAGATACCTCTACGATGCTACGAATCCTGTTTGTCCTGTATTTATGTTTGATTGCATGCATAACATGGGATCTCAACAAATTTTGTGATGGTCTATTTTACTTTTGTCCGCAAGTGGTCTAACCACAGTAATATGTTAGGCACGTATTTGTTTTCAGGCGATAACATTTAGTGAAACTAGTTGCTGAAATAACGTAATGAAGATGTTCATATAGCTGTCAGTGTTGTTCTATGCTGGTTAAAATATATTTTATATATTTCTGTGTGTTAATTGACCATTTATTGTACACTGCGAGAATCGTGCATTATGCGTGAAATCGAACCTAAAAACAGGACAAACAAAGGTCATAGCGTTGTAGTGGCGTCAAACATCGCGTGGGATTCGACAAACGCGAAAGTATTTTGGGGAATATTTCCATGCTTAATAATGTGCTGTACACATTTGATGATGGTCAATTTTGATTAAGTGAGGGTATTCGAAAGCAATATTCCTCTGTCGAAGATCGGCCGGTCGATATGAGCTACGAATTAAAGAAATTTGAGTTCAAAATCAAATCATTCGATTTTTGCGGCAGACGTTCGACACGCGTCTTTCATGCAATTGCGAGATCTCGCAGTTGAACAGAAAATCTATTGGTAATGTGTAAACACCAATCTACTTTTATGTTGTGCAAACTACTTCAATCAAAGGAGATAGTTCATTTAAATGTATAAAATAGCTGATGAGATCTTGTTGAAACTGACAGCATGTTTTTTCCATCTAAATATAGTTCTCCATTCTCTTCTGTCACTGTGTACACAATTACTATGGTTACATAGATTAGTGGAACTGAAGATGCAATGATGAAAGAAAATGGAACACTACTTGAAAGTTGTTTATAATATGTAAATTAATTATCTTATGATGTTGACTATAAATGTATACAGAAAGAGCAGTGACTGACCCTCATTAATTCCACCATGACAGGGGAAATGGTACTTCATTACCTGAGCACACTGAATCAGTGATTCTGCACCCACACCCACAACCACATCACCAACGACAGTAATCAGTTGATGTTTGGAGAATGAAGGTATTCTCCTTGATTTTATAAAAAACAAATACTGTAAAATCTGTATTAAAAGCCGCGGCTTCTATTAAAATGGTACAATGCAATAGAAGTGATGTAGCTTCTATTAGAGCACCTACACATATGAGAAATGATGATTTTTTGGTTCACAATTGTTCAAAAAGAATGGGTGCAACTTATATTAGAGATGTGGTTTCTAATACAGATTTTACAGTTTAAAAAAAAAAACACTTACGACATAAGTCTTGACTTCGCCACCGGATTGGGACACCGTTCGCATTGCACTCATGGGCATAAGCTGCAATGGCGGTACACAGACACTCGCAATCACCTCCCATATCACAGGCACATGTGTCAAACACACACCGAGAAAAATACATTTCGTAGTCCACCTCAGCATGGCAGGGGGCAAATACCTCAGATCGTAAGGCACTGCACTGTCTAGTTGCCCATGCTCGGCGATGTGGTGCGAAAGAGCATGTATCGTCCGTGTTGTGGGTGGCGTTGCAGTAGTCCTCTAGCTTCCAGCTTTCACTGAATTCGATGGCACTGGCAACTACCATTTGATTTAGCGTGGTGAAGTCGTCACCTTGATTGTCATTGAAATTGCCGCATATTCCTTCCACCTAAGAATAATTACAATAAGATGTTTGACTGATACTAATACATACTTATTGGGATTTGGTCCTATTGTTGTTATTGTTATTTTTGTGGTACTTCTTGTTACAAAGATAATGACCTTATGATAACTTCCCCATCTTCAAAATACTATGGCACCCCCACCCACAGCATTCAGTTGTGTGTGATACTTCAACATTGGCGAAATGATATACCACTGACCATCAAAGACAGCAAGTATTGTGGCTAAATGGTATTATGAAATATGTAATATAATGAAACTCTATTTCATGTTAATTTAATCTTTGGTTCTTAAAGTGTGAAATATGTTGACTATAAGCTCGAAATATACGAACGAGCATTGACAATACTTCACATTTAACAAACATAATACAGCCAAACCTGTGTATAGCGACCATCCAAGATTTTATTTAGGCAGGTACGGTGGACTTGAGAAAATTAAAAATTGTTTTTTAAACAGAATGCAATGGTAATTTTTATTTTGGTTCTTAAACAAAAACAAATCTGCAAAAATATCACTAAAATTGAGGACACATACAACAGGTGGTTTTTATAAACAGGTTGGGACTACCTAAAAGTGGTCACTATAGACAGGTGAGATGGTCTTTATATAGAGATGGTCTCTAACACAGGTTTGACTGTAACCCATATTTCTTTGACAGAGTGCACCTATACAGCATGATATGCAGTGTTGTGTTGGTTTGCTGAGCATATCTATGGTGGTTTGTATTTACTATTACAGTGTATGAAAGGCAAAATGTGTCAAAGGTCATATTAGAAGGGTCTTTACTCATGTTTTGATGTGAAGATTCTTTTCGTATGGTGTGTTCAGCCAGCATTAAACAAATCAGAGATATGGCACGAGAACCACATTCATTAAAACAAAATGGCCGCCAGTCGGCCATTTTGAAGCCTATCTGAAATCAAAATAATGTGCATCAAGGTCCTATAATGTCCAACGTATACAGTACAGTTCTCGCGGAAGCTTTGGCTTCACTTCAGCTTCACCTTCGCTTCAGCATCGCATCATTATGGCATTGTTATGGCTTCAGCATCGCATCAATGTCGCGACATTAAAAAGTTAAGCGGTTATCGCTTCGCTTCATTGTGGCCTCATTATGGCGACAATGTGGCATCAGCATCGCTTCATCAAACAAAGAAGTACAGAACTCATTTCGCCCAACCTCTCGCCCGCTTCCGCTTTTCAATCGCACGCCTTTGCGACCGCTTGTTGAATTTCCGCTTTATTTTCGACTGTGCAAAACTTCGGACTACTAACAATTTTCTGGTTTTCATAGATCACGGTTACTAGTTTAGTAACCGTGCATAGATGTTGAACAACTGTCAAAAGTTCAAATACTTTTTGTTTTAACTATCTATAATTATATCTGACCCTTTGACCTAGATTT